GTTCAGGATCACAGGACTTTGGACCTATCCCAGATACCTAAATAAGGCTTAGAGATGAAGCAGACTCGGGACAGACAATCAATGGGCTGCCATACAAACAATTCTTATTCACACCTATAGGTTTTATAATATCCTCACCAGCCAAATGTATACCAGTGTACAGTGCATGTTAATGTGTGCGGAAGGCTGGAGAGAACCAGCACAAGCACTGAAAGAACATTTCAATTCCACAGACAAAAAGACGCAGTGCTGTTTTAAGGTCCAAACACATAAGCTTACTGCTATGGTAGCAGCATTAACCTCAAGTAAGGGAGAGATGTCAGTGATCAGGAGGAAATTTTGCAAGCCTTGCAATTCTTGCGTTGTTCAATAAAACACTAACAGTGCAGGAAATATACTTCAATCTCTCAAATAATAACCCCTCTGACTTTTTTTTTCTTCGAAGATGATTCCAACTTCTGGTTCAAAAGCAGAATTCCAAAGTTACTATTACTGTCTGTTATCTGCTGACTCTTTAATGGAAAGGATGCTATTTACTTAATAACAGCATATGTTTGTCTCGCATTACCTTCTGGTTTGCCGCCAACATTCCTATGATCCTCTGATGACATTGTGATTCCACTCGCCTGTGTGCACACAAGTCTCCCGACAGATATGAGGAAAATAAAAAAGGTGGATGGAAAAGTAGCACTTATCCATTCTACTTTTTCTCTAAACTAGACCAACTCCCCCAGATATTTCCCGACTGAGAGGCCAGCAGGAAGGGAGGGCAGCGGGTGGAAGAGAATTATGTAGAATAGTGGTGAGTGGCAGGGAGGGGCAGCGGAAAAGGAAGCATAGCCTACTGGGAGCTTTTCTGCATTGAAGAGACTGGGGGCAAGCTGTTGGATTGCATTAAATGTACTTGAATGTTTCTATAAATCGAGCAAAATTTGCACTAAATATGCCGTAATGTAACCACCGGTAGTGTTGTTGTGGTTGCTATTGCTATGGTGATCGTGTACTGTAATTTCCTTGGCCCTGTTTTGGGAGTTTTTTGTTCGCCAGAGACTGTCACCTCGTCACAAGAAAATACTGTAAAATTTGTTGAAAAAACACACACCTGTGTACAATATGGCCCAACGACCCAATTCATCCTTTAAAATTAATTTTTTCTCTTTTTTAATCATCGTAAATATGAATGAATAAAGACAGTAACCAATTTAACAAATACTTAAGCTTCACAGATTTAAAATTGTTTTCTTTAATTTTCTGAAGCTGCTGGTTCTCCACTACATTGCTCTGTCATCTCACGATGCCCCCCCCCCCACCCCCTACCTCCAGAAGCGACACATTTGACACATTGAAATCTATTGGTCTGAATCGGGGTTTACAGTTTCATATCTCGTTCATCCAACGTTTCATGCGAAACCAGCATGAGTGAGTGATTGGGGCAGTCAGAGCCATCGATATGTCAGGGGCAAGTCAAGTATATATGGTTGTCATTCCAGGAAGTCTCCTTATATCATAAATTTTAATCAACTGAACACAGACTTATATGAAGTACCAATGAATAATGCACACAGCAGGGCTCCAGACTAACAAATTTTCTCGTTGAAGCACGGTGGTTTTGAACTTGCCCTTTGAAAATTTTAGGGGCTCAATATTTAGGGTCATAAACAGTGTAGTCGACTAGCAAATTGAACAATCATATTTCCTCTTATTTATTCACTGATAATAGGCAGCAATTCATCTTGAAAACGGAATTTTCTGCCTTTTTTGCCATGACCCTTTCCTCCCAAAACAATTTGTAGGAATTAGCAGGATTTGTCTCCTCTGAGGGTCAGCATCACAAGGGTCGCTGGCGTGCTGGAGCCTATCTCAGCCGTCTTTGGGCAACCCAGAACTGGTTGCCAGCTCATCACCGAGCACACGCACATATAGACAAACAACCATTCACACTCACAGTCACACCCGGGGACAATTCAGAGTGTTCATTTATCCTACCTTGCATGCTTTTGGAAGATGAAAGGAAACAGGAGTATGAAGAGAAAACCGACACAGACATGGGGAGAACATGCAAACTCCACACAGTAAGGCCGGAGCTCGGAATCAAACTCTGGACCTCTGAACTGTGACGCAAATGTGCTAACAGGTCGATCACAGTGCCATCCTACTGTTTTTGGAAATTAGCATTTTGTGTACAGATTATATTGATTTTGTTTTCACATACAAAAGAAATTCCATATCCCCTCTTTTCGATTTTGAGCAACTGCCCTTCCAAATGTGTCTGACACCGTTTCCTCCAGATGTATGAAGGAAAAGAGGTGTAGTCGGCCAAACCGGATGTTGTGCCGTGTGTATTCCGATTGAGATGTCTCTAGATGACAAAACGTCTTTTTCTCTGCATACCTCATACAGTACACTGTTCAAAGCTTCATGAATGCTGAATACAGTTCACCACTTGATTCAAGAAATAATCACAACTACTCAAATATATACAAATGTGTGTCAGGCATACACACTAAACAAGTGGGAAGCCAAAATAGACTTCATACATGGTGAAAATGTGTCTATTATGATTGGCAAAAGAAAACAGAACATCTATTGTATGTGAGAGCGTGAGTCTGAAAGAGGAAAAACAAGTCCAAACAAGAACTATCCTGTTTGTGTTTTTGTCAGCTTGTTAAGCACCTCATCGCCGCTTCCACCCAATGGAGCAATGGGATGAAGAGGAAGTCTAAATCTAGACCACTTCCTGTATGACATTCCTGACTTGTCCTTGCCTTTCCAACATTCTTTCAGCTTTTGCATTGGACTGCCATGGACCTCCATTCATGCTCATGCTTTAAATACACAGCCAGGAATAAAGTCACGCAAACTATACCGATAATGCAGACGTTTTATGCTCAGTATAACAGATGCATGACATTGACATGCAGGTTGTAGAAAAGAAAGCTCAGCAGACTGTCACTGTGCCTACTTTGTCTCCATCAGTGTTGCTGTCCTTGCTGGAACTTAATGTCCAGTTTTAGATATCTGTTTTTTATTAGCCATGCTCGTGCACTGACTATTCAACTGTTTTCGAGACTGTTTATCCACACGAGGTTCACACATGGCTGCTGGCCTATCCTAGCTGACTTTAGCTGAGCGGAAGGGTACATCTGGACTGCCTGCTGTTGTAGAAGGATGAAGCAGCTCATCCCCTACTGAATGGTTAGATGGACACTGCATATCTTTTATAAAGAGTGCTTACAAGAGGTAATAAGATAATCGCCAGGTGAACACGATTGCCATTACAGATCCCATGCCATCAAAAAACATTTTTTTCCACTGTTTTAGCATAATATCGGTCAAAATTATTTTGGGACATGGTTAAAAAGGATCTCTCGGCTGGAATGGTCCACTTTTCACGAACAACACAAACTCCAACAGCCCACTTGCAGCCCGAGCTGCATCTCTGGCTGGACAAAATTAGCTTTGGCCCTGCTACGACTGCATGAAGGACTGGCTCCTTGGCTGCCTGAGAGCCTACAGGCGTCCGTGACATGGAGATAAAAGCTACAGAGGTTCTGATAAGAGGGTGACCGCGACGAAGCAGAATCTATGGCCAAATAGATTTAGTATTTGCCTTGCTATGGCTGCATGATTGGCGGGCATCTGGGATGCCTGAGAGGTGGGCGTCCAATCCACAATTTAGAGGGCGACCACCACGTAAGGTCTTTGGCTGCCTGACGATGGCGGGCGCGGAGCTACTTAAATGCACGAATGGTGTTTGGCATCCGCAACACGGAGCCCCATGCCGAGTGACAGTTGGTGCACATATTGAACACTGATGAAATCGATCCCAGAATAAATTTAAGATGTTCAACAGCTAAACTGTTCAATTTCAATGAGCTAGACCAGTGTTTTTCAAACCCTGTGCTGCGGCACACCAATATTGTTAGGTGTGCCGTGGGAAATGATCCAGTATAGTATGCCTTTGCGGTCTATCGCCGCAATGCGGGAGAGCGCAAACGACCGGGAGAAAAAGAACCAGCTGTCACATCAAAATCCGACCCTGAGCAAGTTAAAGTTCTAATTGACTATATTTTACTTGCCATTAAAATGAATGCACCAGATATTGGATTGATGTTGATTTGATTCCTATTCAATGTGTTATAATATAGCGTTATTTTTCAATGTTAAAAAAACGCTTATAGAAACACTTAATTGTTAAAATACACTTTTTTCACATTTTCAGGTAGTGGTGCGCCGTGGGATTTTTTTCAATGAAAGAAATGTGCCTTGGCTCGAAAACTGAGCTAGACACTGTTTTCAATATAATTACTTTTAATGTCAGTTTTTGGGGGGGGGGGACCACTGTCTTTTCTACATGTACCATCAGTTTTTTGTTAAACCACAATTCAAAATTTTTCTTTCTTTCTTTCTTTGAGGGGTACAGTACCAACCTTCCCCGCTAAATGTGCCGTTAGCGTTGATGGGAATTTAGAGCATGAGACATTCGTTTCTTGGCACGCTGTCGTCATTTCCTGGTTAGTATGAGAAATGCTGTCGGTGATAACTTCCGGTAATCCAAAATAAATGCTATACTTTAAAGGCCATTTTAAAACTAAAACCAAATAACCAGTCGTTTTTGTATTTTTAATACGATGTAATTTCCAAACGCAATGGCCAAAAGAGACATGGACCACACATCAACAAATGTATTTATAGTTTAGCTTTGCTTTTGTGCATGCATATACAGTATGTTGGATAAATGCAATTTCTTTTCAATAACAATGTAACAAAATAGTAAAAGCAAACATTTACAAAGACGTTCTGTTTCATCGTTGCCCTTGGCAAAAAAAAAAAAGATTCCCTCCACCCGTTTGACCTCCTCATTGACCAATCACGAAAAAGCTGTTCGTCATTTGACAAATGACTGGCTGGTATTTGTGTCATGTTCCGCAGCGTCCGGAAGTCATGTGTTTGGTGGTTCGGAGTGACAACTGCTATTGGCTAATTGTTAAAAGGTTTGTGTATTTCGTAGTGTGTCTCGAGTTGTCAAACACCATTCAAGGTTCTTCGCTGGAAAAGTATCCACTGTGATACAAAGGAGCTTTCTTGTCTCATTTACCTGTGCAGTGTGCACCGAGAGGGAGGTAGGTAGGGATCGCTAATGTATCGTTTGTTATGTTGCTGTTGTTCTATATTAAATCTCCGTGTGCCAGTGAATTAAAATGGTGCGGATCTTGAGTCTAAATTACCCAGGACATCACATATTAAATCGCGCTTCTTCTCTTGCTGCAATTTTATGTTCAGTACAGTACACCTACCTACCTACTTTCTTCCCAGGACGTCACATTTCAAATCATACGCCTTCTGTTCGAATCTCTCTCTCTCTCTCTCTCTCTCTCTCTCTCTCTATATATATATATATGCAGTATATATATAAAATCACTCAGCCCTAGTTGCAAATAAATAAATCATACCTAGTTTTTGAATCTATACGTTACTCTTTGAGTCATCCAACATGAAAACAGGGGGTTCAGGATAGAGGAGCTTGCAAATAATGTACTGTAATAGGATTCATCATTTGTTTCTCCAAACCCTTATCCTACTTGCTACTTTACTATTCCTCTTCGACTAGTACGGTAACCTTGATAGATTCTAGTTGGAAGCTCTAACATGTAAACAGAGGCACAATGACTATGGAGCTTTGAAATAATAAAAAGAGATTCACTCCAAATATTTTTGTATCCAGCTCCATGCAAGCATCATGCCACGAATGTGACGTACCATGGGCAACACTGAGAGTGTGGTGGTGCAAAAGCGACTGTCCCGTTTCCGTCCGGAAGATCGACCAGTGATTCAAGGAGTGTTTGACCGCCTTCAGGGCAATGCCCCTGCAGGAGCCCAAAAGAAAACACCCGCAGGAAATACTCTCACTTTTGAGATGCTGCAGGTAGTATGATCCATATGAAATGGCAAAAAAAAGAAAATGTTGATCTTCATAGCTATCTTCCCCCCCCGCCCCCCCAAAAAAAAAATATTTACTGAATATTCACATGCAATAGCTAATTGTTGTGTGTTGTCAGTCCTCCATGTGCATGCTGGCGCCAGACTCCATGGTAAGGCGGACATACCATTGTATGTGTAGTATTGACTTTGGAACCACAGCAGTTGGCAAAGTCAGTCCATCCGCTGCGTCAGGAGTTTGTCGCGAGCAGTTGGTGATCTTCCTCGCAGACACCCTGCAGGGTACCGCAGAAGAACGAGCTCCTTTGGTTATGGCTATGGCCCTGGGTGGAGCATGCTCCAAGGTCGTCACCTTTGAGCAATTAACAGAGGTGAGGAAAGGCTCAGTCGAAATGTACTTGTTTTCGTGTCCACCTGAGACATGTTTTCTTTTCATAGTTCTTACGGGACCTGATCTCTGCTGTAGTTCAGATTGTCCTCAATAAAGGACTCGTCCAGGGGTGGAAACCAGACAAAATGGGTGATGGCTCCCAGGGTGTGACACTCTTGGCAGAGCAGATGTGCTCAGAACTGAAATCCACAGGTAAACAGGTGACATTTGCAGTATCTTTCGCTTATGATTTTAAAGATAGAATGGAGGCGTTGCAGGAGTGTTTGGATGCCACTTGGCTGCTTTTATGTCTTTAATGTCACACATTAGCGTGTAAAGGTTATTCTACAAACCCATTTACAATGAAGTTGGGACTTTGTGTTCAACAGAAATAATAACACAATGATCTGCAAATCATGTCCTATGTTTAATTGTATACATTACAAAGACAAGATACTTCATGTTCAAACTGCGAAACTTTGTTTTGAGAAACTTTAAACTGCTCAGCTAATCTCGACTGCAATCATTCTTTTCCCTCTATATTCTACATTTTTTTTCACAGATTCAAACATTCCAACTTTAAACTTTTTATCTCATCCCTACCTCGATTTTTTTCAAAATTAAAAATTAAAAGACAAACAACATACCGTAAATTCCGGGCTACAGACCGCACCTGATTATGAGCCGCATGCTCAGATTTATGAAGAAAAATCAATTTTGTAATTATATGCGCCGCACCGTACTATAAACCGCTGGCCAATGAGTAGGCGGGGGTTTGCTTCTGCGTCACTGCCGCCGGGAGCCCCTCCGGGTGAGGCCAATGGCGCGGTCCCCCGCTGAACCCCTGCAGAAAAAAAATGCAACATTTCTTAAGGTTAAAATAATCTCCCTATTTTTGTGAGCATGATAAATGCATTTGCACAACGAAATTACGCTGAAACACATAATAAGAGGCCAGACAACGAGAGATCTTGATGCGCATCTGCGTAATTACGAGGAGAAATACTGCAGCCCACTAGGCTTTAGCTAGAATAATGCAAATCATATAAATGGGAAAAGATATATGAAATTATTTCTATCGTCAGCCGCTTAAAAATGATCATCGTTGGCAGCTTTAGGCCCAATGCTGCGTGGCTCAAAACACAGGTAAAATGTGTTCTCTCGTGGACGCTTGTTTTCAATATGACGGGGGAAGTCACCTTTTTTATTTACAGTCCGAGTGAGAGGCAAATCAAATGTCAGAGGATCTTCGTCCATATTTATTATTTCATCTGGGCTGATGGAATTCTCCGCTCTCTTTGTTTGTGTGAACGTGCGGAACGAAGCAAGTTTGTCCTCGTAATTGGGAGGGAGCTGCTGACACAACGTCGTGCGTGCCCTAATAGACAGGCTTCCATTTCATGAATCTATAACACCACGACGGCCCACCTTTAAAACCTTTAAAAGCTTTCTTTGTCTTTTTACACTGGCTCAGTTCTTCTTGTCGGAGCCTCCACCTTCGCACCATCGACTCGTCTATGCCAAGATTAGGCCAAACAAAAAAGATAGTGTGTTTCCGGTGACAAGAAATTTCAGCATAGGGTCGATAGGTCAGACAAAGTTTTTTTATTTTTAATCTTTTTTTTTGCCCATCAAAAATTTAAACAAAATAAACAAAACAAGAAGACATTGAACCCGCCGCCTATTTAGTTTTCTCCCCGCTCCAGACTCGGGGGCCGTGGCGCGCTGCCGCCTCCGGCGTCCTCCTCCGCCGTCGGTTTTTAATCAGCCCGTGGTGTTCATCAAATAGTTCGCTTTATTTTTTCGATTCATCAATGGATGCTATTTTCTTAACATTACGGTGCGAGCATGTGACTAACACAGAGAACGCGGTTTAAATTGTCGTCGGAGATCGCGGTCTCATTTGAATCAGGTGTGTTGCAACAGGGAGACTTGGAAAACATGCAGGACAGCGGCCCTCCAGGACCTGAGTTTGACACCTATGCTCTACACAAAAATGTAGAGGGTTGTTTGAAAAAAATGCCGACCGTAAATTTTTTTTTCGACGTAGAAATTCTCGGTCGGTCGGGTTACCGGAAACACACTACTTTTTTTTCTACGCCTTACGGGCAGCAGCTCGATTTCCTTCTTTAACTGCCAGAGTGATCGCTTTTAGTTTAAAAGCTGCATCATATGCTTTTCGTCTGGTATTCTCCATGTTTATCAGGGTTAGAAGAACGACTGAAATAAGGAAGTTGTGATTACCGGTAATCATACAATTTCATTGGACCCCTGTGTACTACTCATTCATTTTATTGGTCGACTGTTGCCGGGTAACACATTTTTCCCTCCGCTACGGCAAAAAGAGCGGAAGTTGTGATTAGTCATACAATCTCATTGGACCTCAGTGAAAGATTCATTCATTTTATTGATCCATGTTTTTTCGGCGATGGAAAAAAAAAAATTAAAAAGCCGCTTCATATTACACGCCGCAGTGTTGAAAGTGTGGAAAAAAAGTAGCGGCTTGTAATCCCGAATTTACGGTACGTTTTTTGACTGATTCAAACCATTCCAATTTTAAACTGTTCAGCTTATCCTGACCGCAAATTTTTTGTCCAAATTTCAAAATAAAAGCCGAAATTGGATTCTTTTTGTCTTTCTCATCTAATTTCTAATTTTTTTTGACTGATTCAACCCATTCCGTTGTCCTGTTCAGCTTATCCCTTTTATGACCAATTCAAACCATTCCACTTTTGAAATGGTTATTAGCTCATCCCAACAGTTTGTTTTAAAATTTTTTAACTAAAAGCCAAAAATTATTTATTTTTTTTAACATTTTGCTTTTCTGATCTAATTACTACATTTTTGACCGATTTAAACCCTCCACACTCTAAATTGCTCCTCTTATACTTACAAATGTTTTTCAAAACATAAAAAAAATAAAAGCCCAAAATAAAGTTTTGCTCCCCAAATTCCCAAATTTTTTGACTGATTCAAACCATTCCAACTTCAACATGTTTAGCTCATTAGAGGTAATTGTCTATCATTCCATGCCACTCACACGATTTTTCATTGAGCCTCTTAGCCTTCACAAGCCGTTTCTCCAGAAATTCCATTCTGTAGATGTTGTTCTTGTATTATTATTATTATTATTATTATTATTATTATTATCATCATTGTTATTACTAGGCCGAAGGGTGACCGCTGCGGAGTTCCTATTGTTTCCGTAGAAACGATTGATTTATATTTAATTTTATTTTTATTTTACTCCATCATGAATTGCATTTTTGAGGAACTGCACATGAACAAAAATTCACCAAACTTTGCTCACACACTTAGCCATATTTGTGCTGTGTGCGACTATGAATTGCTTTTGAATTTGTTGCTGTCTTTGGTCTTTTGTAGAGGTCATATTTTATCTTATTTTATGCAACTCATGCTTGGGTATTTGTCTGATCATCTTCAAACTTTACATATTTAATCAAAAGATTTTTAAGATGAAAAGTTATTGAAAACTTTATGTCATCACACACACTGTTGCAGTGACAGTTTGTAAAGAAAACTTTTATTCAAATCAAAATCTGCTTGGTAAAACCCACTGGGTGACTTGGCATGGAATGTTTGATTTTTCTTCATGTATTACAATTTGTTTCAGCTGTGTTTTTTTTAAATGCTGTGAATAAAGTCAAGTTGTGTGGGTTTTGACAAAAAAAATTTATTATCTTGAAAGACCAGGGAGGCTATGATGTTGCCTGTTTGGAGGACTGGATCTTTAGAGTACCCCAAGTATCTTTGTACCTGGAGATGTTGGTAGCTGAGGGACTAAACGTTTGGCCAAGTGTGCGGCCAGCACTTCCTCTGTTGCCTCCTTGTAAGGAGACACCCTGGAAAGATCTACGCCGGTGTCTGTTGGATATTCCCACCCTCATGTTTCTTGCACCGCAGGTTAGTGTCTGACATACAATAATCACACTTTTGTTGCACCTTGAGTCACTTGAATTTTGAATAGCGTATTATTTTCACGACCACATAAGATTCAAATAAAAGTTTTGAATTTTCTCCAAAATGGACGGGGCACCTAATAATGCAGGTCACCTTGTTTATGCACCGCATTCCAAAATCTATCAATGATGTTGCGTGACTTTGATGAGGGGTCCGCTTGACAGACTGATGTGCCGACACGATGCTTATACATAGGAAAGGAGGATGTAACTGAGGACAGAATGCCAACGTTAAAGGGGGAAGGGTGGGCGTGGAAGAGGACGCTAAACCAGCAGGTGCCGGTTATGTGCATTGTGCAAAACAACATTGTGCTTGGTGCTTTTGCTTTATGAAACGGCAACATCTATCCAACCAAGCAAGAATGACCGTGGCGCAGCGGCATCTGGCGGAATTCAAGGAAAACCTGGCCAACTTCTGCTCCTACTACTGTAAAACATGGAATGTTCTGGGTAACATTAAATGAAGACGCTTTTTTGGAGATTTTAATCCTTTATTCTGCTGCTCTGCCGGCCTCACTTGGCTCCCATTACCGACTGCACCGTTTTACCGTGCTTGCGTCCAATAATACAATGCGTCTTAGGTATGTGTTAAATACAAAATAGCACCCGTAACTGACACTATGCCTTTTACTATGGTGTGCCATATGGTCGTGAAAATACAGTGTCTGCATCTATCATGAAGATAGTTTTATTTTATGACTACTTAGGGCAGGGGTGGCCAACCAGTCAGAGACGAAGAGCCAATTTTTTACTGTGTTACTGCAAAGAGCCACATCATACCCTTCCTCGTGTGCGCGCGTGCGCACACACACACGCGCACGCTCACATACTTTTTTGGCCAAAGATCGACTTTTGAAGCGACCAACTTCCCACAAACGACCCGATCGAGCAGGTGCAAGAATACACACACACACACACACACACGCGCGCTCACATGCACGCACTCACGCGGGTGCCCACCAGTGCACTCGCGCACATATGCCCGCACACCATGATGAGCAACAGTCGGAACGGGCCGAAAATGAACGAAAGCTACAGATACAAACAAACAAATCTTTTTTTTCCAAACATTTCCTTCTCCCACCCCTTGCGGTCGACTTGGGACCAGTTCGCTGGCTCCTGGTCGATTCTGATCGACGTATTATATATTAAAATCAGAGGTAATTCGCTGACGAGCTGAGCGTTTAGCGCCGTTGTTTGCGCATGAGCGGTGATGCAGTCATCTGATTGGTTGCCCTCTGTCAATCAAGTAACGGGATTGATGATAGGCTGACGTAGTACGTTCTGTGTAGTTAGCGCCTTCGTTTGAATGGCATCGTCACTGCCGAGGCGTTTTTGACGCTTGTTGTATGAAAGCCTGGGAGCCGCATTAAACAAGCCAAAGAGTCACATGCGGCTCGTGAGCCGCGGATTGGCCACCCCTGACTTAGGGAGTGAAAAAAAACAAAGTACCTGACAAATAAATTCAAGCAACACTCTGTACAGCAGGGGTGTCAAAGTCAAATGGACGGAGGGCCAGATAAAAAAATTTGCTGCAAGCCGAGGGCCGGACTGATCGAATGTTCATTGAAAATTTTAAAAATGACCACATATTGTTTATTGAACCAAATTTAATTGACTGAAAACCTAACAAATACATTCCAATACGGTCAGATAAATAAAGCAACATTTTTTTATGGCTATGTCAGTAAACTTTAATTTTCAACAGGCAAAAAAAAATTTCCTTTGTATAAAAATACCCATAACATGAATGAAAAAAGCCGATATTATTCAAGGCACTATCACTAGTCCATATTTTCTCTTTTAGCAAAAGTAGGCTAAATTTACTTAAAAGAAAAACAAATAATAGTGCAGTAATATTCGATCATTTACTCGAATAAAATATTTTTAAAACATAATTGGATTGAAATACAATAAAATAAAGTGCAAAAATGTATAAACCAAAAACAACACTTTCTTCAAGAAGTAACAAGCAGCGAAAGCAAATATTGCACTTTAATTTTTAAACTTGAACTGAGTAAAAACGCTTAATATGTGATTGCACAGTATATTATAAGTAATATTCACTTCTTTGAGGCTGAGGCTGATACTCGGTGGTGTCTTAACTTTTCTACAAGTTCATCAATATTTGGGGTCAGGCTCTGAGCTGAGCAAATCCTCAAAATTGAGTGAGGGTGTTCAGCAGTAAATCGACCTCTGTGTGATGTTTTGTTCAGCTTCATCAAAGAAAATAG